AAATGTGGGTGGATGCCAATAGAGGCGGGTAAGCACAACCCTTTTAAGTTTTTTTCCCGAGGGTTTTGTTTTGATCAGAGTCATGCCTTCGTACTGCCCAGACATTTTCTTTTTTGCCTTTGGGTGGTTCGTTGATTTATTGATCCTGGGTTTGGGATTTGCATGTTATCGATACACTCGATTTCGATCACCTTTTTTCCACACAGGACACGCTGACTTATCAAGAACACACAACGTCTACCTACGCTCGCGAAACGACGCCGCAGGGGCGTGTGACGGAAAACGCCGAGTTCATATCTTGGGTGGAAAATAATCAGTATGGGACCCAAACGCCTCCACGAACGATGACACCCACCTCACACCATGACTCAGAGTCTTTGAAGAGCGAAAGTGAGTCTTCTTGTAACTTCGTTTACAAACCACCTTCGCCGGTATCATTGAGTTCTGTTGTAGAGAAGCGGTTCTCGCTGTTCGGAAAACGAGGATCGAAGTCTCAGAAGTGACGAGACCGCTTTGTACCGACTCGGACAGTGCTTCTCTACGATCATTTTTAAATTTGATGAAGTTTTTTTGTTATATTTTTGTTTGAAGAAATTCATTTGTTCTATCTATACACCCAGATTGACTTTAATCCGTTTTCTTTAGTAACGTATCCTTTTTACTTGTCATTTAAACTGAACCATTCCATTTGAGGATCGTTTTATACACTGTTGTACACAATTCTATTGTTTTTTACTTCAGAAAATATCCCTTGTCGTTTCCCTCAAATACGTTTTTGTTTGGATATCATCAGATTTTATGTGTAGCTCAAGAAAGCGTGTCTTCAGTGTACTATAATTGCTCGCATATCACATGTATTTCTCTACCGAGTATAGGTAAAGCTTTCCATACCGGCGATTTTGGATGTGAACAGGCATCGGGCCCGATGATGCCAGGGATCATCCCGTTTCGCCATTTGTCAGCGAAAATCTTTTAATAATCAGAATAAATTATTTGCTATTGACTGGTTTTATGCGATTGCTATTACGGAAGGCTTGGTCACTCCTCCTATAGGAAATACGTGCGGAAGGCCATTGAGAAACGATGGTCCTTGAGCTTTCCCCTAGCTCAAATTGTTCCCAAAAAGGTCTACCGTTCGGTAGGCTGAGAAGAAGGGAAACGGAAAACATGTGGGATCTCCAATTGAATCCTGGTGACGACTTTTTGGATCTCTAGGGTTCTGTCTTCTGAAAGACGTTTTTAATGAATTTTTGTTGTTTTCTTATGGGTAACAGTCAATAGTGCGGGGTGCGGGGCTAGTGAGGGTCGCCAAGTCTGAAAAGCGTGTAGTAGGTCATGATAGATGGAAGATGGGCAGGGATTAAGTCAAAACAAAAAAAAGTGTGCTTTCATATTTGATCTCATAGTTGGGTGATACCAAATGCCTGCTGGGTAAATGATGGTAAAATTGTCCCGTTTTTGTGAATTACCCACTGACTTGGCTTTTGTGCGAAAAACTCAAACCTTTGGCTTCAAATGGCGTTCAAATATTAAAAGATATTCAAATCAACCCTCTCCCATCCTAAAGGAGTCTGCTATCGGTAAATCAACCACATAGGCTTGATTAGATCGAACGCTATTCGTTCATTCAATCTCTCGTTTTCGGGTCTGTCCGACTCGGCCGTTCATGCGAATGCGTACCACTACCTCATAGCGGCTCTAGTTTAGGAGTATCTTTGAAAGCTTCCAAGTTACTTTCCTAAAAATGAAAGTAAACGCTTAAAGGCACAGTTCACGGTAACTTCGAGGTGCCCTTTTTAGGTAGAAAAGTGAAAGTGCTGATGTAGAGGAGTACATCGGTAGCGAAGAAAGCGAAAAAATCCGCCTACTTCGAGGCTTTTCAAAAGTAGTGGAAGTGGAGGTTTTACGAGATCAGCGTGACGGTAATGGCATGTAAGGGGTGCTCGGATGAGATTTAACTTGCTCCCATTGCTCAAAGAGATGATTACATCAAGCCGAAATTGTCTGAAACTGCGTTTCAGACAATGTCGCCATGGGTTATGACAAGTTGTTTGAACTTCCTACTTGGGAGCCTCTTGAGATAGTGCAGCCTCTACGAAGCCGTTGAAACTTGTCCACCATGGGTGTGGTATTCACACGATACAGTCCCTGGCCCTTTATTTTGCGCTATCCATGACGTTTTTCGACCTCATAACGGCATGTATGGTATAAGGGGGAACCTCGAATTCTCTTGAAAGCCATTTTTGAATTGTGCGTTTAACCCTTTGACGACAATGCCGATTTCGACATGACGGGCCCGTGGGACCACGCCCCTTTCGTTTCGTGCGCGACTGGCACCCACCGGTGGGTGCCATGGTCCCAGGAGGAACTCCCTTCTCTGGCTCAATGAGTTTAGCAATATTTCGCTTGAAATGGAAGTATCAAAATATTGTTTCATCAGAAGAATTGAAAGCTTGCTTGGCCTAGGCGGATATCTATCCCAGATTCAAAGCCGTGGCCACGCGTGCGCGAAGTGCGCCACTTGCCACTACAGCACCTCCACCCTCATAAAGGAGATGTTTTACATTATTCTAAGGTGGTTTCTTTTGAGCAGGTTGGTAAAGGAAAACCAGATTTGTGACTTAGCGCATCTTTGCCGGTCATTTGCTGATAGCAAAATTAACCTTAACATGCCACTAAGCTTCGGAAAGAAGAAAGCAAGTACGTGGCGTATCCCGATGTACCTGACTTTGAGAAAAGTCGCAAGGATGTTCTCATATGTGTACCGTACTTCAATAGGGGTACGTGAGAACTACTTCACGCCAGTTGTTTGGCGAGGCTGTTTGCCTACTTCAGGCGGATCTTCTCGCCACTCTGAGAGCAACCGCTTTCCCCATTTATGGTCCTTGTTCTCCATTCCACCTATCAAAGAGTGACTGATCAAGTCCCCGAGAAATTACTTATACTCCTCTCATTTATCCAGTTACTCCTCCATACTTGTTCGCCCCCTTCGGCCCGTCACCGCGACGCTTGAAGAGGCACCTGTAGTATTCCATGTTTTCTTTGTTAACTGGGTCATCATCCGAACTGGGTGACGTATTAATGTTTAAGTAGGTATTTACATCTTCCAAATGAGCTCCGCATCTGCCAGTGTATCCTACGGAACGGGATCCTTGGGATCCTCAATTAACATAAGTAGGTATTAATCTGCATCGTCTGATGAATCACATATGGTCGCTGCTCCATCCCTACTCTCAGCATTGAGATTTCTTCCTGTTGAGAGGGCAAATCATCCATTGCTTTGCGTGAAACAGGAGTGCATGGCTTACAACTCTTGTTTCGCTTAGTATAAACCTCTTTGGCGATACAGTATCAATTCGAACTATCAGTACCAAACCGCTTGCTTTATGCCATCTTCAGCCTCTATGTTTCTGTGAGATTTCCCGTATAGTGAACTCTACGCAGCTCACCCCATAATCCTTCTATCTTCTTCTGTTCCTCTGAATTTTGCAGCTGCGATCCTCCCAATTGCTGAGGACTTTTGCCTATTGGTATTGGCCACCAATAGCCAGTATTCTATCCTCAACAATAGG